GACAGCAGAGGGCATCTGAGTGTGGTGGTGTGTGTTTGTGAATGAGAGTCAATCTGTGTGTAAAAGAGCAGTTAAAACCCATGTAGGATTAACCAAGCGAGAATCAGAATCTCTAATAGTTTTTAAGATTTGTACCTCCTAAAAGTCTTTAAAAATATCTTTTGAAAGTTATTAACTCATTAAAGTTAAAATCATTAAAATATTAGTTTAAGCTTCCCCTATGTTGTATTCATATTTTCCATAATAAAATGATTATTCATGTTTGTCCTTTTACTTCTTATTCTTATTTCATTTCTTCCATTAATTCTTCCAGGTTATTCATTATTATAAAAATAAGAAGTAAATTAAAAGGAAAAGAAAAGCAAAAGCTATTATATTGGTTTATTCATTTATTCATGTCTCACGCGTTGCTATACTTTAAAAATCATTCGCTGGGTTTTCTCTGACAGGCCTCGGCCCATAATTCCAGAATAAAAGGTCTTGAATGAGATATAATAAATATATAAAGGGGGTTAAAAGGGTGAGTTTTTATCAACCATGTTAGGTTTAATATGATTGCCATTAACATTTAATACAACATTATCTGGTACCTTCGAAATGGCATGTTAAGGACCGAGAAATAGATTATTGAGTTTATTTTCATTCAAAATTAAACCATTCTTTTGAAAATATACCTTGACAGTAGATAAGAGATGTCCTGCTCTTCCAATCAAGTTAGGAATGTTTTCGATATCTCCTGTCAAAAGTAACTGTGTGCCATCTGCATATTGTACAACAAAACAATCAGATAAAGACTGTGAGAGATCATTCACATAAATAGATAGAAGTGTTGGCCCGAGAACAGAGCCCTGAGGGACACCAAAAGAAATATTTCTTGGAGTAGATGACGTATTTCGAATTCTTACAGATTGTGACTATTGGTTAGATAACTTCGAAACCAGAGTGGATGCATGTGTAACTTTCTACATTTATTAATTAGGATTTCATGATTCACTCTATCGAATGCCTTGGATAAATCTAGCAGAATAAAAAGTAATATATTTTGTTGTCAATATTTTCATATATTTTGTCAGAGACTTTTAGGAGAGCGGATTCTGACTTTCAGATAGCAACCAATTATATTCCAAGAATGACATAAGCCGCTTACCATTTTTTTTTTCTAAAATCTTAGAAAAGATTGTGAGCAATGATATTGGACGGTAGTTGCTTACGTCATCCGTGTCATTATTCTCATGGAGAGGAACAACATGATACTTTCCACAGATCTGGGAAAGTGCTAGTGACGATTGACATGTTTATTATTACTGTGAGATGAATAACGATGATTGGCAGTGAATCCCCTACGAAATAATGAGGATACCATCTGAGCCATACGAATTAGTTTCGGTGAAGGATTTCAAGGTCAATATTACCGTTTCACAGTCCACAGGATCGGATCTAAACGTGCTAATAGGATTTCCACTTTCATTAAGACATTTTCGTCATTACTGGCATGCCTCACTTATACATAACACATCAACATTCTTCTTCTTCATTTATATTTACTAAATATGGATTCTGCATTTATGTGTACAAGTTTTATAAGATCCATTTTCAGTTTAACAGAATCGACACTTCCTCCTTGGCCAAAATCCTATTTACCATAAAAACTGCAGTTTACTTTAATGTCCGACCGAGTGACAGGATGCACATTCCAATTTGTGGTCGAATCTACACTGAGACTGCCTATGATTAAATTCCCCACAATTAAAACACCCATCCCTCAAATTACCCAGACGCTGCCTGTTCCCGTCCAAAGATTTCTTATTCAGTCTAAAATGTCTATTCCATTGTGGTTAGTATCTCAAGCATTTTTTTGTTGTTTGTACCTTTTAGCCTGAGATTGCAAAGAATTTTTCAGATGCAATGGGTTCGTCATTGATTGATTGCCTGTGATTCTTACGTTGAAAAGAGTTTAAAGGAGACACCTGTCCTCTGTTCCATTCATTAAAGCCGTTAATTTAAGAAATAGACATTCTTTACTTATGTTTTTTAACAGCCTGACTACACCATATCTATTCAAAAATATACCTTCATTATTGTTTTCCATTTTAAAACTTATCGTCTACATCGGCTGTACCAAGTCTAAAGTTTAGTTGGGTTGATATTATTGTGATTCCGATATTGGAGCTCCATTCCTTTAATTTAGCATTATATTGATTAACTTTTTTAATAAGATTTGGTACCAGTTCACACACGGCTATCTCCATGACATCGTCCATCTTTTAAAATCTAAAATTGGGGATCGTAGGCCATCTAATATTTCATCTACACTCACGTTCTCCATCAGTTCGTGGATCCCATAGTAAAGGATACATCTGGTTGGAGGCCATTCTAATTTTTCGTTAATCCAGCACCGCGTAAGGTCCATGGTCGCTCCGTGAATGGTCCTGATGGAGTAGTCCTTCGCGAGATCTGCAGCCTTGACATCACTAAGGTTCGTGTCCCCAAGTAGCAACGTTTTCTCGGACGTTTGAAGGGGGGACTCGGATATTCCTGGGCTAATTGTGGCGGGGTTCCGTTTTCCATGAGTCACTTGTTCCTCTAGTGGAGAGACAAGAACGTTTAGCCGATTAATTGTCACATAGGCACTTTGGACCATCTTACTCAGTTCTTCTCGAGATTCTCGAGAGAGTGTTCTATTGCATTCGATCTCACATTCAAACCTCGTTTTCTGACAGTCTACTCGGACATTTCAGAAAAAAAACACAGCACTGTTTCACTGGCCAAAGTACGTATTGTGATTTTCTAGATTAATGACAGTAATCGAAGACAAACTACAATGGTTCACTTCAACGGGGTTCGGAGGGTACGGTTTAGGGATGGGGTCCAGGCAAGCAGGCAAATTCCTCCCTTATAACCGGTAAACAAACGTCGGTACTTTCAAATGTATTATCTAATTACACATCTATCACAACACAAATAACTATCATTCCAATATCGCCTCATGCAGCAAACATTCACGTTTCAGATGTATACAGTCTCACTTGATTTGTGACTTGTTATTAGCCGAAAATAACACTAATAGAGAGCCCTGCACAACCACCGCAACAGAGATGAGACGAGATAGAGAGAGACGAGAGAGAGAGGTTGACATAGAAAGAGTGAGAGAGGTTGACAGAGAGAGAGAGAAAAAAAAATTCGATGAGAGCACAATATCCCAAGCGTTAGTACCTAGTTAACAAGAAACACTCGAGGAAATGTTAGAAATAACATATTCATCTTTAGCAGTATCCAGTTATGCTTCAGAAGAAGAAAACAAAAAACAAATAGTGAGCGTAAAAGAAAAGAAAAGAAAAACGAAAAGCAACACGATTTTTTTTTCTTCTTCAAAGTTGTGTTTTACAAAATTCTAATGACACCGCTGTAACTACTCATCTCTGATAAAACAAGAGTGGACGAGGCTCTTCTCGCGGCTACGTAATAAGGAGTTGATGAGATTTAGCCTATCAAATAATAGTTTAAGATAATAAGGTTCGTATATGATATCCGTCGAACTTTGATTGTCCGAATAGTGATTGCACCTCGACTAAGCAACTTTCTATTTTGATGTCACCGTCACCGCGGGGAAACTTGGGTATGTCTAAGCTATGTGAAAGTTTCTACATAAAACTAGTTTTGAACCAATAAAGGGATACATATTAAATATATTACATCGTTTTAGCAATACTTTCACACATATACTTTGTGGCACTTCACTCTAATTGACTGTATATGCATCATTATTGATTCTAAAGATGAACTGCCGAGAGATTCGATTCCTTTGCATGTTCAGTCCACCTATTGCTTCTGGTTTCGATCCTTTTAAACAAAGAATGAACAGGACAAAGTAGGAAACAGTAGCAATGTCTGTAGTTAGATCCTACCGTGAATAACAAAAGGTCGTGGATCTGGCAAAGCCCCAGCGAGTGCAAACATCTCTTCACAATACCGGGGCTAAATTACCAAGGCAAACAAGGAAACAGCGCAGCTCAAGATTATGGCGAGTAGTTTCAAGCAACTCTTTACATCGAACGTTTCTCTTTATAGATATGATTTGAAAATATATCTATCCATCTATCTATGTATAAAGCTTATTTGTTTTATTCATTTATCTATCATTTATTCATCTATCTATCTATTTTTTAAGCAAGGGATCATGAATGTAAGTACTCCCCAGAAACATGCACGGATTTTCCCTGTATACATTACAAGATGCGCTGTAACATCACGAATTACAGTCGGTGTATTAAAGAGAGAATGTCCATGCTTTACATACAGCTTTGGGTCGGAAATTCATGACTATGACGTGTTGCACGCAAGAAGGAGTCGAATGATTGTCAGATGAGAGACACACATCCGGACGCGTGCAGAGAGCAAGGAACTGGTACCGTGATATTGCACCTTCCCATATGTGTGTAATACTAATCGTTGCATAGACTTTAGTTACAATAACACACGTTTTGTTGAGTACCTGCGCATGTAGAAAACGCGAATACTGTTATTCCTTTTTTCAAAAAAAAAAAAAAAAGAAAAAGAAAGAAAGAAAGAAAGAAAGAAAAAATGATAAATAATAAAATAAATTAAATTAAAATACATACCCATACATAATTATTTTTTGAAAGGTAAAGTGCCTCATGTTAATTTGCAACCATCTCAAAATGTGAACGATGGCATATCAACATTTATGATGCAAACCGCTGTTTCTGCAGCAACCTAAAAAATAAAGATTTCCAGAATTAGTTGAGCTCCCACGACAAAACACACAGTTCATTAAAACCCCACTAAAAATAGCAGTGTTCATGAAAAAATGTCTGGTAAGAGAGAGAGAGAGAGAGAGGAACAACAAGAAATAATAAGATAAACGAGAGGAGGAGATAATCGATATTGCTTGCAGATATCTCAATGCAAATAAGTTATTATTACCTCGGTGTTTTCATTCATTCATTAAGACTACATAACGCGGCGAAAAATTACAGTCCAGTTAATTCAAAACGTGCAGCGTTGAGCCACGAAGCTATTACTAGCGGTATTGGGTCGAGTCCCTTCTGAATTTCTCTCTGCAGGACTCTGGCTATGTCAACACACACACACACACACACACACACACACACACACACACAGCATATAATCACACACACACATACACAACGAGAGTGAGAGCGAGTGAGCGAAAAAGTGAGAGAGAGAGAGAGAGAGAGAGAGAGAGAGAGAGAGAGAGAGAGAGAGAGAGAGAGAGAGAG